TGAGAGAGAGGAATTGCAGGATGTAGAATCTGGAGTCATAATTAAAACTGAAACCAGAAATAATGGCCAGGGTCAGCAAACTGCTACCAAAACAGTGACTTAAACCATGACTGAGATATCAAAGTTATTGCAAAATCAGTTAAATGAGGAGAGGGGAGACCCTGTAAGTATTCCCACTTACTTACTCCATATTCTCAAATGTGGAGATTGGATCTGGACTAACCCAAGCAGAATATGTTAGTTGAGCCACAGGCGAAAGCACACAGAGTTTTAAAATGATTGTTCAGTTATCTACCCAAACCCAGTTCCATCCAGTTCCAGTGGATTCCAATCCAGTAACCACTGCAGTGCTGGTATGGTATGGGAGAGGGCCAGGAGAGAAAGGATTAATTGAATCTTTCATAAAAGAGAAAGTAAAGATCCAGGTAAGCTTAAGCACCATCCAGGACAGCCAGTTTTAGTGGATTCATCCACTACTGGAACAGTGACTTAAGATGCAATTGGGCAGTTATTCGTGGGTAGATGTCTATGCCCATGATAAAGACTATTGTATCTGCATCAAATGGATAGTGCCTTCTTTTCTAACCACCAGTTTAGGACTAGGCATTTCCCCTTTCTCCTCTCCTACAAGAACTCCAATTGAGCAGTTAACCTAGTACTATAGATTGATGGAAATGTCAGGAATTTTGACCACGTGTTGTTGTTTTCCTGGTGGTTTTATCATTTGTACCTATTGCTATTGACCAGGATGTTTCAGCAATGTCTCCTTTGTGCCTTCTTCCTGTTAAATGTAAACTATTGTAATAAGATGCCAAACTTAGCTTGGAAGCTAATGCAACAACTTGTAAGAACGTGGGGGTCTCACATCCAAGGGCTTTGCTTTGCCATCTCCTGGTTTGCACAGGAAGGACTAAGATTCTGTTGCCTATAAATTTGTTTGCTCTGATCTTTATTACTTGTAACACTTGACCTGGGAACACCCCATCTGAAACGTGGTTTATATCTAGTATTAGAACTTTGCCTAGAAATATGTGTAATTGTAATGCCATCAACACCCCATACATTTCTCAGTGTGGTACCCCATAAAAGAAATTGGCCTGCATACAGAACTACAAATAAATACCCTGAATCTTACTAACACTTATAACTGTAAAATGGCAAAATATACAGTCCATTTGGGGCTGGCTTGGAGGTGTTTAGGTGGAAAATTTTATTCCTATCTGACACTGGAATACCGTGCTGGATTTAAATGCAGTATTGGAATTCCTCCCCTGTGTTGTACCAGAGTGTTCAGTTTAACAGTTTCTGAGAGATAGGCGTGCCGCAGCACACCCGATTATTCAGGGTACATGTGATACTCAGCCTCACCAACAGGGAGTGCTGCCCCACCATCCACAGCACTGCAATTTCAAAGAGGCCCAAGCAAAGACGAAGGCCAGACAATTGAACTATTCTTATCAACGCAGCCAAAGGACTGATTCAATCAACTGTACCTTGGACTGCCGATTTCTTCTACTTTGAAATGTTTGGAGCTCATAGGGTGGGGAAAGGGGTTATCACAAATTGGGAGCACAACATTGGTTGGATTTCTGTTTTAAATGATGGGCACGACCCTTATTTGTTGTACGATTGGCTGCTTACTGTCTTGTGCTTCCTCCCAGTTCTCTCCCTCTGTCTGCTACATAAAGATCACTGCAGCTGAAGATGAGCCCTCTGCCCAACCAACAGTAAGGAACGTTTGAGCCATGGAGTGGAGGACCAGGCATATGCATGGCCTGTCTCAAACATTCTCACTGTTGCGACAGGAAACTTGTGATGGGAAGAGAGGGTCCTGCAGAGGTGGGGCAGCTTCCCCGCCTCTGTTGAACCAGCTTCCTGCTCCACCTTGAGAGTCGTACTCAGTATCCCCTGACTCACATCTTGGAAGGCTCAGAGGGCTGGCTGTTCATGCACAAACAAAACAGCACGAAAAATTTGGTTTACATAAGAGGCTGTGCCAGGTCAAGTGCAAAAGGAAGTGGATCAGTCCCCTCTCTTCTCTTTTTCCTCTTTTCCTTTGTCTCACCACCCCAGCTCTGGACCATCCATGCTGCGGGATCAAAGTGGGAGCCAAGGACTGCCAAACTTTGTTCTCTCCCTCTCTTCTGCCTTTATTTGTCTCCTCCCTTGCTTTGCCTGGGGAAAGAGCTACTATCACATTCTACCCCATGCTCCATACAGAAATTTGCTGTGGGAGTGGGGAGTTTGTGGAAGCGTGTAGTGGCTTGGTGGCCAGCAACTTGGAGAAGTGGTGTTGCTTATTGAGAGCTCATTGAAGTGCACTGTAAAAATTCAGGGCTTGTTAGCTCCCACTAGTTGAAGTGTGTTGTAGAATTTAAGCGCTTGTTGGCCAACATCTTTTGAGTCTAAACAGTGGTTCGTCTCCAGAGTGAAAGTGAGTGCACACAGAAGTTCCCTGACACATGTCTGGGGTCTTTGTTTGGAGTGACAGGAAATTTACAATGAACATTGTGCTCCTGACTAGTGGATTGTGACACCTGCCTCCCCAGGACCCCCCAGCATCCCCCAAGGACTCCCAAGCTCCTCTGGGATCCCACAAATTCTCTCCGAACCTCCCCCAAATTCACCCTGGGATCCCCCAAATGCCCCCAGGACCCTCCCAAACACCCCCTGGAACTCCTCCAAATCCAACTCAGGACTCCCAGTGTTCCCCAGACAGCACAGGGGTACCCACCAACAGCCCCTCTGGGACTCCCTCAAATCCACCCCAGGATCCCCAACACCCCCCAGCACCCTCCACACTCCCCTGGCACCCCCTGGGTCCCCCAAATCCAATCAGGCCCCAATCAACCCTGGACACCTCCACCCCTCGCAGGACCCCCTGTCAAACATCCTCTGGGACACTGCACTCCCTCAGACTACCCAAATTGACTCTGCACCCCTCATATCAACCCCTGGGGTCCTCCCAAACAATCCCTGGGACCCTTCAACCTCCCCCAGACCCCCCAAATCTACTCTGGGACCCTCCAGCGCTACCCTCCTCCCCAAACACCACCTGGGACCCTCCAAATCCACCTCAGGACATCCTGACCCCCAGATCCACCACAAGACCCCCCAAACACCCCCTACCCCCTCAGACATCTCTGGCACTCCCCAAATCTGACCTAGGACCATCACCCCCCACACACACACTAAACACCTGCTGGGGCCCTCTGACCCCCTACAGACCCCCTAAATCCACCCTGGGATACCTCTAAGTCCCTGGAAACCCTCCTGGGACCCTCCATCCCTCTTCAGATCCCTCCAAATCCACTCTGGGACACCCCAAACACCCCCCCGGACCCTCCTGGGATTCCACACTCTCCCTCCAGATCCCCCAAATCCAGCCTGGGACCCCCAAACAGCTGCTGGGAAGCCCCTGGGACATCCCAAATCCACCCTGGGACCCCTCAAACACTCCCTGGAAACGCTGGGGGACCATCCGCCTCCCCAAAGGTCTTCCCCTCCATGCTGTGCCAGCTCCCACATGTCCTTGTTGTCCCCTCACCCCCTCCCTGTGACGTGGTGGCCTTGTCCTCCTCCAATGTCCTTGTGTATCGCTCGATGGCCCTGTGTCCCTCCTGACGTCCTTGTGTCCCCCCACCTTGGGTGGGTGTTTGGCAGGGAGCTGTGGGTGTGTCCCAGAGGGCTGGGGGATCCTAGGGGTACTGTGGGGGCTTAGGGGGTGGAAAAGGTCCCAGGAGTGCTGAGGGGCATCTCATAAATTGAGGGAGGGTTGTCCTAGGGGTGCTGGGGGTGTCTCTGTGGGGCTGGGGACATCTAGGAGGGTCTCTATGGTTCCTAAGGGTGGGGCCATTGGGGCTGAGGGGGGGGCATGGGGGCTGAGAATTTTGGGGGTCTTATGGGACCTGAATGGGGGAGTCTAGGAGGATGTCCATGGATGGGGGAGGGTTTCAGGGGGCTGGGGAAGTGTTATGGGTGCTGTGAGAGGGGGTTCCCATGGGTGTTAGGGGAGTTTCTGAGAGACCTGAGGGTGCTGAGGGGTCACTTTTCTCCAAGGGGGGGCTGTCAAGGTGTGGGGAGAGGGTTGCTGGCTGTTGGGGCCCCCTCTCCACTTTTAGGGGAGCAGGGTGTTGAGTCCACTGTGGTTGGGTCTGGAGGGACGCTGTCCCCTGGAGGTGTATTTTACAGGGTTGCTGCCCCTGCAGGAGGCTGTGGGGTGGTTTTGGGGTGCAGGTGACGGTGTGGCTGCTGGAGGACATGTATCTGTGCTTGCTGCACGCCTGCCACATCACCTCCTTCCCCAAGGACTTGCTGCTGGCCTGGCACCTGTGGGGCATCTTGGGGGTGATGTCTGAGGGGGACACCCCGGGATCCCCACACCTGGACCCATCCCTTAGGACCATTCCACCAGGACCCGCACCCCGGGGCCTCCATCCTGACACCTTCCCGCTCCTAATCTTATGGGGGACCCCTTGGGACCTCCACACTGCGACACGCCTCCCCCGGCCCCCCACCCTCTTCCCCAAGACCCCCCCAACGAGGGGACCTTCACCCAGGATGGGGGTCCCCTTCCTGATCCCGGCACCCCTCAGTTTGTTAAGGACCCCCCTCCCTGACACCCCAGCACGCTCTCCCAGGGACACCATCCCCACGGGGACCCTCCCAGGCCGCCCACTCTGTAGGGGGACCACACCCCAATACACGTCTGTGACCCTCAAGTGTTGCCGGAGCTGGGGGGAATTGGGGCCAGGCACCGCCGGGGAGGTTCTGCTCAGAAGGGTTCCCTTTGTGCCGGCGGAGCTGCCGGTGCGGGGCGGAGCCCAACGACAGAGGGGACTTTAGAGCTCCCCTACGGAGGGGCGGAACCTCAAGGGGGGAGGGATGCATGGAAGCCCCCTGATGGGGCGGGGCTTTGGGCGCACCTTTATATCGGCGGTGGCCGGGGGGAGGTTTGGGGTGCCCCGCTGAGGAGGCTCCCCTGGCGCCCCGCGAGGGCCATGGCGGCCGCGGCGCTGCTGCTGCTGCTGTTCCTGCTGCCGCCGCTGGCGGCGCTGCTGAGGCGCGGCGCGGGCCGCTGGGGGGCGTTGCACCTGCTGCACCCGCAGGGGGCGCTGCACCTGAGCCGCCTGGCGCGGCGGCGCGGGCCGCTACTGCGCATGCGCCTGGGGGGGCGCGGTGAGTGCAAGGGGGGGCCGAGCCCAACACCCCCCCCCGACCCCAACACCCCCTCCCCGACCCCAACACCCCCTCCCCGACCCCCACACCCCCTCCCCGACCCCAACACCCTCCCCGACCCCAACACCCCCTCCCCGACCCCAACACCCCCTCCCCGACCCCAACACCCCCCCGACCCCAACACCCTCCCCGACCCCAACACCCCCTCCTCGACCCCAACACCCCCTCCCCGACCCCAACACCCCTCCCCTGACCCCAACACCCCCTCCCCTGACCCAAACACCCCCTCCCTGACCCCAACACCCCCCGACCCCAACACCCCTCCCTGACCCCAACACCCCTCCCTGACCCCAACACCCCCTGACCCCACACACCCCTCCCCGACCCCAACACCTCCCCCCTGACCCCAACACCTCCCCCTGACCCCAACACCTCCTCCCCGACCCCAACACCCCTCCCCGACCCCAACACCCCCTCCCCGACCCCAACACCTCCCCGACCCCACACCCCTCCCCGACCCCCACACCCCCTCCCCGACCCCACACCCCTCCCCTGACCCCAACACCCCTCCCCGACCCCAACACACCCCCGACCCCAACACACCCCCCCGACCCCAACACCCTCCCCGACCCCCACACCCCTCCCCTGACCCCAACACCTCCCCCCGACCCCAACACCTCCGACCCCAACACCCCCTCCCCGACCCCAACACCCCTCCCCGACCCCAACACCCCTCCCGACCCCAACACCCCTCCCCGACCCCAACACCCCTCCCGACCCCAACACACCCCCCGACCCCTCCTGGGCCTGCCCTGGGGCTCCCCAGCGCGCCCCTTCCACATCCCACCTTCTTCCTTCCCCCGCCCTCACGGATTCCTCAAAGCGGACCCTCCCTCCGCCTTAGGGACCACTCCGAACCCCAAACCCTGTCCTGGACCCCCAAACCTCCCCTCCCCTCCTCCCTGGGGACTCCCCAACACCCCAAACCTGTCCCTCCCCCGCCTTGGGGACCCCCTCGACACCCTAGATTCCCTCCCGGACCCCCAAATCGGCTCTGGGACCTCAATGCACCCCCAGACCCACCCTCCCCTGCCGCGAGGATCCCCCCAACCCCTAAAACCTGCCCTGGGACCCCAATCCCTGCTCAAACCTGCTCCTTTCTGATGTCCTTGGGGACCCCAACCCTTCCCTGGGACCTCCTCCCCCCTCCCCCCCCAATCCCATCCCAGGGCTTCCCCCCCTGGTTTGGGATTCCCCCCAGTTTTGGGGTCCCCCCCAGCCCCTCCTGTTGCCCCCAGACGTGCTGGTGCTGAGTTCGGTGGGGATCATACGGGAGGCGCTGGTCCGGCACTGTGGGGACTGGCTGGGGCGCCCCCCCAGTTACCTGGGTATGGGGTGTGGGGAGAGCTGGGTGGGCTGTGGGGTATTTGGAGGGGTTCCTGGGGGGTTTGGGGAGTTTCGATGGGAACTGAGAGTATCCCTGTGGGGTTTGGGGGGCCCCTGTGGGGTGGAGGGCCCTTACAAGGTTTGGGGGTCTCCCTGTGGCATTGGAGGGGTCACTGTGGGGTTGGGGATGTGTGTGCTGGCAGTTCTGGGGGTCCTGGGATACCCCTGATCCAAGTGGAGTGTCTATGGGGGTTGGAGGGGTCTCTGGGGGTCCTCGCCCCTCTCAGACACCCCCTTCATCCTCCCTAGGGTCGCTGGTGGGAATGAGGGGGGCCTACGGGTGGGGCTATGGCCTTAAAGTGGGTTCTGTGGGATAGGGTGGCCCTGCAGGGTACCCTTGATGCAATGGAGGGGGTGCCTTTGGGTGCTGGGGTGTCTGTGGGGGTCCCTGACCGCTGTGCCTACCCCAGGGTCGCTGGTGTCGCAGGAGGGGCAGGACCTGGCGCTGGGGGCCCCGTGTCCCGGCTGGCGGCAGCAGCGGGGAGCGGTGCGGGGGGCGCTGGCACGGGCTGGGGCACAGCTCGGGCCCCTCCTTTGGCTGCAGGGCCGGGAGCTGTGTGAGGTGGGACCCCAAAACTGGCACCCCTAAAACTGACCCTGCCCCAAAAGTAACCCCTCTGAGTCTGAGCCCCCTGAAAGCAATAACCCCACTGCATCCAGAAACAGATCCCCGTGCAAAACTGACCAGCAAAACCCTGCCCAAAACTGATACCTTAAACCCCACTCACTGCACCCAAACCCCACACATGCACCATAACCATGCCCCCTGCACCCAAAACCTTACCCCCAAACTCTGCTGCCTGCACCCAGCCTTCATGCTCTGCACCCCAATTCCCCCCCGGGACTCCACAAATTCCCCTTAGAGCCCCCCACTTCTCCCCTGGGACCCCCCCAAGCCACCCTTAGAGCCCACCAATACCCTCCTGGGACACCTCAAATCCCTGTTATAGCTCCCCAGTAGCCCTCCCGGAGCACCCCCAAGGACCTTCCCTGACCCCCACTTTCTCTCAGGAGCTGCGTTCCCATGGGGGGGCCCCCCTGGACCCTTTTGAGGTGTTCACGTTCCACACCTGCAGCACCATCGCACGCCTTCTCTTCGGGGACCTGGTGGGGACTGTGGGTCCCTGAGATGGGGGCAGGGTTTGAGGGGGACCCGGGTTTTCACAGGGGCCCAGGGGTTTGGGGCTGGGGGGACCCAGGGGTTTGGAGGGTCCCCTGGAGTACCCAGGTGGCCCTCCAGAGGTTCAGATGGGCCTGGGGGTTTGGGGGGATCCAGAAGTTTGTGAAGGGGACACCAACTGTTGGGGGGGGCTGTCAGGAGTTTGGGGGCACCAGGAGTTTGAGGGGACCCAAGTGTCTGGAGCTATGTTTGGAGTGTTCTGGGGGGATCCAGGGGGGAACCAGGGGTACTGAGGAGTACCCAGGTGTGTCCTCTCCCAGGTGCCCCCCCCAGGGGAACTCCGGGCCTTCTCCTGCTGCCTGGGGGAGCTGCTGCGGGTGTGGGGGTACAGCAGTGTGCAGGCTCTTGACCTGCTGCCCCCACTACGGGTGAGCTGGGTGGGGGGGGCTATGGGGCACTATGGGGACACTGTGAGGATCTCTGGGGCCTGGGGAGGCTGAAGAGCCCTATGGGAGCAGTGGGGGGGCTATGGGGCTCTATAGGGGTCCCTGGGGGGCCATGGGGTCCTGGAGAAGAGAGGGGCCCAGAGTGGGCTATGGGGCTGAGGGGTGTCAAGGATCTATATGGGGCTTGGGGGGGTATGTGGGGCTGACAGGGGGCATAGAGGATCCATATGGGGCTTTGGTGGTCTGTATGGTGCTGAGGAGAGGCTGTATGGCCCTGGGAGGGGTATTCTACAGTCTCTATGGGGCTGGGGGGGATGTGGGGCTGGGAGGGGTGTTATAGTGTCTCTGTGGAGCTGGGGGGGTGTTACAGGGTCTATATGGTGCTGGGGAGCTTGTGAGTCTGGGAGGGGCAGTTATGGGGACTCTATGGGACTGGGGTGGTCTATATGGAGGATGTGTGTGGAGTAAAGGGTCTCTGTGGAGCTGGAGGTGCCTATAGGAACTCAGGTTAGTCTATATGGTTGGAGGGGCACCTATAGGGTCTGTATGGCCCAGGGGACCAGGCATAGGGTTTCTCTGGGGCTGAGGGGAGTTATGGGGCATCTCAGGGAGGGAGTGTCTCTCGGAGGTCAGGGGGTCTCTCTGGGGTCCCTGTGCCCAGGCCCTACCCAACCCGGGGCTGCGGAAGCTGCTGCGGCTTGTCCAGCACCGTGATGCCTTCGTGGAGACACAGATCCGGCGGCACCAGGTGGGGGCAACCAGGGATCGGGAGGGGTTTCGTGGGAACAAGGTGTTGGGGGGAAACGAGGGACTGGGGAGGGGAAAACAGGGGTTTGGGAGTCCCAAGGTTTTGGAGGATACCTGTGGGTCTGGGGGTTCCCAGGATTTTGGGAGGACCTGCATGTTTGAGGGGACCCAGCGGATTAGGGGGACTTGGGGGTCTTGGAGGAACACCAGGGGTTCGTGGGGGTAACCAGAGGTTTGGGGAGACCCAGGGGTTTGGGAGGGGGTCAGGGGAACACCCCCAACACATGTCCCCCTTTCCCAGGAGTGTCCCTCCCCCCCCTCGGACACCGTGTTGGGGGCGTTGCTGGGGTGTCATCCCGGAGCGCAGGGGGCTCCCCTGAGCCCCCCCCGGCTGCGCATGGCGCTGGTTGACCTGTTCATTGGGGGCACCGAGACCACAGCGGCTGCGCTGGGCTGGGCCGTGGCCTTCCTGCTGCACCGCCCCGAGGTGACACGCGTGTCACACGTGTCACAGCCATGTGGCGTGTGTCACAGCCGTGTCCAAGCCCCCATGCATGTCCCTGGGTGGGTCTCATGTCCCCACGTGTGTCCCACGTGTACCCTGTGGCCAGTGTGTGTCCCATGCCACACAGGTGTCACAGCCACGTCACAGCTGTGTCTGTGTCCCCATGTGGCTCCATGGTTTGAGGTTTCCATGGAGGGGTGGCTTAGGATCTGGGGAGGGAGGGTCCCGAGGGGCAGGTCTGGGGATTCAGGAGTCTCTCATGTTTGCTGGGGGCATCTCCAAGGCAGAGGGAGAGGTAGGTTTGGAGGTGGGGTCTGGAAGTCCTAGGGCAGGTTTGGGGGCTTGGGCAGGGCCTGGGGGTTCGTGGGGTCCCCAAGAGTGGGAGAGGAGCAGGTTTGGGGACGGTTTGGGGTCCCAGGAGCAGGTTTCGGGAGTATGGGGGTTCATGGGGTTCCCCAAGGCACGGGGAGGCTTTGGAGGACTTGGAATCCCAGGGACAGGTTTGGGGGGCGGGGTCTGGGGTTCAGGAGGGTCCCTCTGTCACCCCGTTGCCACTGGGTGCCCCCTGGGCGCCCCCTCCCTCAGCGCCCTGTGACAGACATGACACACTCGTGCCCACCTGTGCCCCACCCGTGCAGCTGCAGGTGCGGCTGCGGGAGGAGCTGGGGGGGGTGCAGGGCCCCCCCGGGCCGGGGGACGTGGGGCGCCTGCCCCTCCTTCAGGCCACCGTCAGCGAGACCCTGCGGCTGCGGCCCCCTGCGCCCCTGGGGCTGCCCCACTGCGCCCTGCGCCACACCAGGTACGCACAGCACAGCCTGGGACTGGCCAGCCTAGGGAGGGAGGTGTGAGGAACTGCTGGGGACCAGTCGGGACCAGTCTGGCTGAGGGGGAACTGGGGGGAACCACTACAGACAAGTAGGGACCACTTGACATCATCAGTAGAACCCAGGAGAACGCGGTAGGGCCCAGGAGACCCCAGTAAGTCCCAGTAGGGCCCACTAGACTGCAGCAGAGCCCAGTAAGGCCCCTCAGGTCCCAGTATGGCCCCAGTAGACCCAAACAGACCCATCAGGTCCCAGTTACTCTCAGCAGGGCCCAGAAGGGCCCAGTAAACCCCAGTGGATGTCAGAAGACCAGTATGGTTTATTAAGTCCTTGTAGGGCCCAGTAGGCCTCAGTAGGTCCCAGTAGGACTCAGTCAGGACCAGTATGGCTGAGGGGGAACTGGGAGGAACCACTACGTGCCAATAGGGACCACTCAGCATCACCAGTAGAGCCCAGGAGAACCCAGTAAATCCCAGTAGAACCCAGTAGGCCCCAGCAGAACCTAGTAAATCCCAGTAGACCCCAATAAATTCTAGTAAGACCCACCAGGTCCCAGTATGACCCCAGTACATCCCAGTAGGCCCCAACTGGTCCCAGAATGACTGCAGTAGACCCTAAGAGACACCCAGTAGATCCCAGTAAGACCCAAATAAGTCGAAGTGTGGCCCCATTAGACCCCAATAAGCATCCAGTAACCCCCAGAGAGCCTCAGTATAGCCCCAGCAGGTCCTTGTATGACCCCAGTAGACCCCAATAGACACCCAATAGCTCCCAGTAGCCCCTTTCAGATTCCAGTATGGACCCTGTAGACCCAAACAGATGTCCAGTGGATCCTAGTAGCCCCTAGCAGATCCTAGTATGGACCTTGTAGATGTCTCGTAGATCCCAGAAGACCCCAGAGAGCCCCAGTATAGCCCCAGGAGGTCCCTGTGTGACCTCAGTAGGTTCCACTATGGTACCAGCAGGTCCCAGTATGGCCCCAGTAGCTCTCAGTAGCCCTCAGCGGAGCCCACAGCAGACCCCAGTCCGTCTCAGTGCCCCCCTGTCCCCCCAGTCTTGGAGGGCTCCCCATAGTGGCTGGCACCATCCTGGTCCCCAACCTGCTGGCAGCCCAGCAGGACCCTGCCATCTGGCAGCAACCTGAGGCCTTCCTGCCTGGTATGTGGGTACTCCTGCACCCCTGGGGCCCTCCCAAAACCCTGGGGTTCTCCCTTCCCAAACCCCCATCCCCTCCCAGTCCCCTTATTCCCTGGATCCAGTCCAACCTAGGGCCTCCCCCAAACATGTGGGTCCTCCATCCCTCCCCCTGGGTTCTCCCCATACATCTGGGTACTCTCCAAAACCTGTGGGTCCCTTTGGTTCCCCCTTGAGGCCCTGGACTTCCCTCAGGTGTCCGTCTCCTCCCCAAACATGTGGGTCTCCCCCACCCCCCTTGGGTCATCCTCCAAACCCCTGTGCCCTCGTCCTGAACCCCAGCGTCCATCCTGAACCCCGGGGGTTTCTTACAAATCTGTGGGTCCACCCCAAACTCCTGGATCCTCCCATCCTCGGACTCCCCACCAAACCCGTGTGTCTCCCCCATCCGCATGGAGGCCCCCCGAATCTGTGTGTCCCCCGGTCCCCGAGGATCCCCCCAAAGCTGTCCCCGCCTCCCCCAGAGCGGTTCCTGTCCCCGGGTGCTCCCTGGCGGTCGCTGCTGCCGTTTGGCTGCGGGGCGCGATCGTGCCCGGGAGAGGCGCTGGCGCGGGCCGAGCTCTTTGTGTTCCTGGGGCTGATCCTGCGGGAATTCCGGCTGGAGCCGGGCCCGGGGGGACTGCCTGAACTTGGGGGGTCTCCAGGCACCGTGCTGCGCTGCCCCCCCTTTCGTCTGCGCATGGTGCCTTGCCAGACCCCGGGCTCACCATAACCCTGGGCTGCGTGACTTCCTGAATACTCTGTGATCCACCCGACTCTTTCTGACCCTTCCTGAACACACCTGACCTATATGTGACCTCGACCCCTTGACTGACCCCACCTGACCCCGGCCTGTCCCTGACCCCTCCCTGGCCTGGCTGTGACCCTGGTCTGACCCCTGCCAGCCCTTGGCCTCACCTTGACACGACCCAGGCTGTGACTCGGCCCACCCCCTTCTGACCCAGCCTGAACCCTGCATGACCCCATCCCTACCCATTCGACCCTTACTAATCACACCTGAGTCCACCTGATCCCCCCTGTCCCCTCCTGTCCCCTCCTGACCTCTGGGTCTCCCCATTCAACACCCCAGCAGGGTCACTGCAGTGGGCGGTGTCACTGGCACCATTTACCTCCTTCCAATAAAAGTTACACTTTTGACCCCACCCCGCCAGTCCCGGCGCTTCCCGGGACCCCTCCACAAAACCTCCGGAACTGCGGGAAGCTACAGCCCCGCTCCGACTCTGACTGGCCACACTCGGCACTTGCCACAGCCGCGACCCTCGGGACAGCACTGGGGGGTCCCGGGCTGGGCGGTCTCCACTGCGCCCCTGCACACAGCCCTGTCCCGGGGCTTGCTGCGCTCAGGGCTGGGGTCCGTTCGTCCGGGGGCGGGCCGGCAACTGAGGAGACGTCATCGGGGCGCGCTCTGATTGGCCGAGAGGGACTGGGCGGTGCTCCGCCTGGTAATGAGTCATGAGCGAAGCGCGTTGGGATTGGCTTAGTGTGCGGGCTGCGTTCTGCTAGTCTGCCTGGCAACTGATGAGTCGTAATGAAACAGCGTTCTGATTGGCTTGAGGGTGGGAGGAGAGGAGAGCGCCCTCCCCAGAGCAACATTCCAAGGGAGAGGGACGGGAGGGGAGTCGGTGAGGGTTGGAGGGGACAGTGCCCCTCCCCGAGCCACAGTCCCGAGGAATGAGTGGTGGGGAGGGGAGGAGAGAAGAGCGCTGGCCCCGACGCAGACACCCGACGGACAGAGAGGCGAGGAAGCAGACCCTCACCCCTGCCCTCCCCTTCCCCTGCCGAACCAGGTGCCCGATTGGGCGCAGCGGCAAGGGAGGGGGCAAGGCAAGGGAAGGTGAGGGAGGGTGTGCTGGGTTTAATGTCAGCTGGAAATGAAACTCCAAATAAGCCACGGCCCTTCCCCTGCCCCTTCTCGTTGAAGGAGGGACAAAAACTCAGACTACAGGTTGAGATAACAATGTACTGAAAGCACAGAGCAATGGAGTAAGACATACACAACAACAGCAGCAGTATTAATAGCAAAAGTATACAAAAAGAGAAGGTGTTTTACCCAAAAAGAGATGTTCACCACCGAAAAAAACCAAAGATGGTAGGTCGGTCCGTCCACATGGCTTCCCCAGATAAAGGCAATACGCGGTGTCGCCCACGTGGCCGACGGGAAAAAAGGCAAGATGGCAAGATGACCATTAGCATTTCTCGCCCCCGTGCCTGAAATAACAGAAACCGATGACAAACAAACCCCACGAAAGCTGCCATTCAACACGTGTCGATTTGCATTTCGGCGCTGTCCTTTCAGCACCGTGTCCTGTAGTTGCGTTCCGGGGAAAAATGGGAGGGGGACGGGCGAGTTAGGGGGGGCTGGGTCCGCAGGGGCAGATGCTGACAACCTCCCAGAGGCACGCAAAATGGCACACTTCCCGTAGGGCACCTGTTTTTCCCTCCCTACACCACAGCCCCCAGTGATGAAGTGGGTAAGCATAGAATAACAACCTGGCCGTGCCCACACAGCCCTAAGCTCTCTGCAACCAGGACATTATCCACCTCTTCTTCTATACCATCTACATCATGCCAAGATCGTATAATTTCCAACTATATACATATATACATACACAAGGAGAGGTAGCCATTGGCTGTCCTCATCCAAGATGTCAACATGTTGAGTCGTTTAGTCCATGACTGGTGTAAATGGAGCAGTCCATCCTCATTGTCCGTGGTAGTTATGGCACAAATTGACAGTGTCATTCAGCAACTAATATTATACAATTCAACATTACAGACTGTTGTCACACAAAAATCAAATCCCCTTGAGGCACACATCATTTATCCTTGTCCTTGTCCTGAACCCACCGAATGCATTCAGGTCCTTGAGCAAAAACAATTCCACAGATGGGTTTGCCTTTGATTGAGGCAGGACTAATGCAAGCTGTCTTCCCTAACACATTTTTCATATGCACCACGGGGACTTTATCCCTTTTTATGGAGGTTCTGACTGAGCAGGGACAGCTTGATCGGTGGAGCCTCTGGTGTTAACTGACCAGGTGGCCTTGGCTAAATGTAGATCCCAGTGTTTGAAGGTCGCACCAGCCACTGTTTTCAATATGGTCCATTGTGCTGTTCATTCCCCCAGAGGCTGGGACATGATAGGAAATATGATACACCCACTCAGTCCTGTACTCTCTGGCCCAGGGGTCTATAAGGCTGTTTTTGAAATGAGTCTTCTTGTCCAACTCAATTCTCTCTGGGGGCCATGTCACCACGGCAATTGCTTTTCAAGGCCCCAGGATGGTGTTCTGGGCAGTGCTGTGAGGTGTGTCTCCAGCCATCCAGTGGTTGTTTCCACCACTGTCAGTATGTAGCACTCACCTTGGTGGGTTTGCAGGTTTCCTTCCAGCCAACATGCTCCAGCACGGGCTGCTCAGGGGGTCACAGTCTGTCTTGGGCATTCCCTTGCTCCGGCATGAGCTCCTCCCTGGGCTGCAGTTGGATCTCTGTACCCTCGTGGCTCTCCATGGGCTACAGGGCCTCAGCTGCCTCATGATGGGTTTCCCCAGGGAATTTTAGGGGAACCTCCTGTCCCTCCTTCTGCACTACCCTGGGGGCCTTTGGAGTTGTTCCTCTCACATATTCTCACTCTGCTCTTCTACAGCTGTGCAAGAACCTGTCCTGGAGCCGGCTGGCATTGGCCGTGCCAGACATGGGGAACGTGTAGGGCAGCTTCTCACAGAAGCCACCCCTCACTCCAAATGGAATAGAACATCAGCCTAGAGGACATCCTGCCCCCAAATGGAGAAGCAGAAATGTAAAGAATAAAAAAGTCACCCCCCTCCATTATTCTAAAAGCATCCAGGACTCAGTCACCCCATTTTCTCTCTGACAAGGGTTTGCAGTTCTTGTCAGAGAACATTCTGTGAGTGTCTTTTTGTTCTTTCTTTTGAGGTGGGATGCGAGTGGTGGGGTGGGCTATCAGCAACAAAGGGCAGACGAGCAAGGTGAGCATTTTCCTGCCAGTCTGAAGCAGATGTTACTTCTGGCAGGCTGTGTTTTTGGTGAATCTAAGCTTATCCCTTGTCATTTTTTTTCCTGGTGGTGCACAACCTGAGAAGTGTCAGGAAGTGACACTGTGATGGAATGACACACAGACCTGTGGCTTGATGGACAGAAATTGCATTATTGCAAACGATCCAGGGGTTTTAAACCATTCACTTTCAACTGGGAGTGGTTGAGCAAATCAAGGCAGAGCACAGCTGCAAGGCACACATCAACCACACTCACAGTCTGGCCACACAGACACCACACAGACCTTGGAGTTTCGGGTTACACTTATTTGCGCCCCTGCACGGTAAATTGCAAACCAAGAGCTCAACTCTGTCCCTGGACAGTAAATCAAGGCTTTAGATAAAACAATACAAGGTCATTTAGACATTTCCCAGGCCTTTCTGATTTTCTTCTTTCTTGTTCTCACAGAATGACCCCTAGCAACCAAAGAACTAATGCCACACACCCCCGGAATGCAGCCCCACATGTCTGTCGTGGGACTCTTTGTGATGTCACTGCCTATTGTCTCCATTCCAGAGTGGCCCCTGGAAACCAAAGAACACACTCTTGACAGTGTCCCAGTGCAGCCCCACCCGTGAGCCATGGGCCCCTTTGTGATATCACAGCCTATCCTCTCCATTCTGCAATGGTCCCTGGCCATTGGTTCTTTAAGCAATGCCTCACTGCCCCAGAATGGCGTCCCTGTGTTCCAGATTCCAAGGGAATGGCAGCTGAAGATTCTGTGGAGACATCTGCTTGGTCCAGTTTGATACATCCTGATTGGCTGTTGTGTGGATGGGATGGAACACGTGCCATTGCAAATGTCATGCCCAGGGATGTTCTTGGTCTCAGTGAATTTCAAAGTCCAGACTTGTCTGACTCTCACTGTCCCAGAACAAGGAGATATCCTGCCCTGTTGTCTTCCTTGCAGATATTGGAGCTGTTGAAGTACCCCAGAAGGACCAGGGCCTGTGAACATGAAGCTGCTCCTGTCTGTCTGTAGAAGCCTCAGCCCCTTGTTCTTCCTGCTCAGCTGGCCTGGAGCAGACTCCCACTCTGATGTCCCTTGGAGTTCTCCTCTCTTTAATCCCAACCCTTGAGCTCTCCCCTGGCTCCGCACCCATCCCCAAGGGAGCTCCATGGACTCCAGCTGCTCTCTCACAGAACGGGAATTTTTCAGCCCCGTCTTCCCAGGCTGCCTTCCTAAAATCCTGTGTGGCTCCATTGCAACATTCCTGTCAGAGGAGCCACTGCATCACATCTCCCTGATCCCCACAAGATCCCAGCCCTGAAGCCACACCCAGGTCTCTACCCCAGAGGGACAGGCAAACCCGGCTCATGCTCCGGGCTCGCAGGGCCCACAAATGAAAGTGGGGGCTCTGCAGGCGCAGCGGCCGCAGTGGGGGATGAGGCAGGAACACTGCTCTCCACAGCCCCTCCTTGTGGGAAAAGCCTTGCCAGCCACAGCCCTGCAGCAGGACCAGTCCCAGCTGCTCTTCAAGGCATGGGCCAGGCACCTCTTGAAGTGCCGTGCAGGGCTCAGCCCACAGCAGACTCTTCCAGACTCTTCCCAGAGGGGCTGTTCTTGCAGTGCCCAAACAATGCTGGGGCAGCTGGGATGGGCCAGGCTGTCCCGGCCTTCCTCCTGCTGCTGCTGCTGCTGCTGCTGGGTGAGATGGGGGCTGGCTTTGCCTTGGGGCTGAGCACTGGAGGGCTGCTGAGCAGGGCAGGACAGGACCCATTCTGGGCAAAAGGGGGGTGTTTTGGGTCACACTCGGTAGATGCTGAAGTGCTTTAGGGAGCCAGAGGCATCCACCTGGAACCAGAAACCCAGCTAAAAATGGGCTTGGGTGGGTGTCAAGGGAGGAGATAAAGGAGATGCAGGATGGAGGCTCACATGTGGGAAGGTGATCACACAAAACAGCAGTGGGAACATGGACAGGGCCGTGGGGCTGAGCTGCCCCTCTGTCCAAAACCCTCTGTGCCTCACAGTGCAGGTGCCAGTGTGACAGCCCAGCTCCCCAGGTGCTGGTGAGTACAGGGACAGGTCCTGTAATGGGAGTTGTGTGGGGCTGGAGATGGGAAGGGAGAAGGGCTTTG